TTGTACTTGAGTTTCAATAGTATGACTTTTTAGCAAATAACTCATTATAAAATGTTAACCACTTTTTTTTGTTTGCATCAAAGTCAAACAACTCTCAACACTACTTCCTATAAATGGAAATGATTCCTAAGCTTTTTTTTTTTCCATTGTTTATAATTTTAAAATTATGGGGTTGAAATACATAAAATGAGCCACAATCCCATCACATGGAAGCCACAATCTCACAACTTAATCCTTTCAAAGGTGAGTCACAATCCCACTCCATAATCCCACCATAGGGAGCCAAAATACAACCACTTAGTCCTACCACAAGGGAGCCATACAACCACTTAATCCCACTTAAACGATCCAAATTCCAAACTAGAGAAATATCACAACAAAAAGCTAGAAAACTAAACTTGAATTAAACAACTAACAATCCTAAAGAATAAACCGATAATCAAAAGACAACTGATCCAAGGAGAGGTGATGTAGACAAACCCGATTCCTAAGCTTTAACCAATATAAAAAAAACTTAATTAAATAATTGTTGAATGATATTAATATTTTGGTGAGGAGAAAAATCAAGTTCGGTCCCTACCATATAGTTTCAATATATACACATATACGGATATACCAAACTTATTCATCAGAGCTAAAGAAATACCTAAAGGTCGGAATTCATTCTCTCTACTTTTAGTTTTGCCTTTCATTTTTATTTATCAAATCTCTACTCACATCTATAGATTGTTATAGTTTATCTCCACGTTCTTGATTTTGCTCTCATTCTCTAATAATTAATAAGGGAACTTAAATCTCTCAGGAAAAAAATGTCAAGGAAAGTGGGACCTTACGGTGGTGACAATGGAAACGAATGGGACGATGGTGTTTATGACGGTCTAAGGAAAGTGTATGTTGGAGAAGATGGTGACCGTGTGAGCTACGTTGAGTTCGAGTATGTTAAAGGAGACCAATCGATAACTCTTTCTCACGGAAGTAAACCATAAGAACTGAAAAAGGTACATATATTTCTTGATTTCTTGAATTTGTTTTTTTCCACAAGTATTTGGGAAAGGAAGTTGGTACTAAATTATCTCTCGAGGCAAAAGGGTTTGATAAGCTTGTCGGGTTCCGAGGAATGTCGTCCCATGATCGTCTCAATGCTCTAGGAGCACATTTTGCGGTGGCGTTAGCTCCTCCGCTCGAAAAACTAAAAGCAAAAGGCGGAAAGATTGGGAAAGAGTGGGATGATGGGATCCACGACAATGTTTGTAAAATAACCGTAACATACGAGGGTCATTGCGTGTATTTGGTCCAGTTTAAGTACCTCAATGGCACCACTATTGTCACCGGAGAAGCTCACGGGAAGTTCTCACCGCTTCCTACATCAAAAACAGAGAAAGT